AATTTAAATTTAAAGACCCAAAAAACTAAATATTAAACAATTTAAATAATTATAATTTATTTAAGATGTATAAATGATAATGTCCAATCTTTTTAAATTTAAAATTAAAATAAACTTTTTTAATTAATATTTCAAATTAATATACACAACAGTTAATTAAATAATTAGGTATTATATAATATATGAAGAAATCATATATTATATAAAATATAAATGTCTATAATCAAAAAATAAATTAATTAGATAAATTTTATTAAATATGATTAATTAAAAATAATAACAGCTAGATGCTAGATAGTAACTAAAGAAAAGAAATGTAAACACATTAAACTTTAAATATTCTTTTATTTAATTCACAAATAACTAATACTAAAAAACTATTAATTTATAATTAAAACTAAAGGGTTAAATATAAGTTTTTATGAAAAATTATAATCTTATATTAAGATAAAAGTTAAATATTGATAAAAAAAATATAAACTAATTTATGTAACATTCTAAGTTAAATAATTTATAATTTTAAAGACCTTGAATAGAAGATAATTAAATATTAATTAAATTAATTAATTCTCATCATAATTTATAAAAAAAATATATATATATATATAATATAAAAATATATATTAATAAAAATTTAAATTATTATTTATCTTAATAATAATAATAAAAATCAAATAATTATTTAAAATATATATATAAATAATTACTCAAGTCTTTTTATATAAATTAATATCTAAATATATGAATATATAAATTTTTAAAAAAATTAATATTAAGAAATATATTAATAAAAAATGTACATTAAATTTAATAAAAGTAAAAAAAAAATTGAAAAAAAAAAAAAATCATGAGGAAAAAATACATGTTATATATATTTAAAAAATAATAAATTTAATTTTAAAAGTAAATTATCTTATAAAAATAATTATAAAAAAATGTTTATTTTTTGATGATAAAAGTAAAGGATATTAAAAATTATGGTTTTGAAATTAAAAGATTTATTAATTAATTATATTTCTAAAAAAAATATATAATATTTTAAAGGTAATATTTGCGCCTAAGTAAAAAAAAAAAATATGAATAAATAAACTAAAAAATATATAAATATATATAAAAAAAAAAATTATAAATATTAAAAAATAATATATTTAAAAAAAATAATAATAATATATTATATTTATTATATTCATTTTTTTATAAAAAAAATATTATAAATATAAAGATAATTATATTTAAATTATTTTTATTATAATTATAAAATATATAATTTTAATTAAAAAAATTATATTTTTTATAAATAATGTATAAAAATTAATAAATAAATGTATATATTTATATAAAAATATATATTTATATTTAAATTTATATTTATATTTATATTAATTTCTTAAAACTAATATACAAATATATAATAATTTTAATATTATTAAATATTATATTTAAAAATAAATATTATCTAATAAAAATTCTTTAATCGATATAAAATTTATTATTATGAAAAAAATTATTTTTTTATTATTTAACTACATTATTTTTTAATATTCTCAATCAAAAAAATAGTTGTAAAAATGTTTATTCGGTAATTTTTCATAATAAGATGTTTAAATATGTGGTTTTCAAATTGAAGGATATATTGGAAAATCTAAGATTTCTAAATGTAATAAATATATTCTTTTAGGAGGATATAATATATGTGCAAAAGATTGTATTATAAGCAATAAATTTTAATCAATTAATCCTGTATACAGTTATTAATTAACTTTTATGTTTATGATGCTCGATACATGGGATTCTGGTGAATTTTTTATTGTTTTAATAAATGGAAACGAGGCATTTCGTGCAGAAAAAGTTAATGGATCCAATTAATTATGTGGATTTCCTACAAATGAAGACGCTCAATCTGCTAATTTTGTATACAAAACCAGTGATAAAAATATTGAAGTTTTATTTACTAATAACTCGGATGAAGGTCCAAATACTGAATCTATAGGTATAAGCTAATTTATTATTTATGTTAATGAATGTATGGCTGAATGTTTAGAATGCACTGATAATATTTCTTGTAGTAAATGTTAAGTAGGCAAGTATTTAGATGCAGGTAGGTGTATTAATTGTATTCCAAATTGCGAATAATGTTCAAAAAAAAATTCTTGTGATTTATGCAATAGTGGATATTTTTATAATGATTCTTAATGCGTTTTGGCGTGTCCAAATAATAAATATATAAATAATGCAAATAGAACTTGCAATGATTGCAATCATAAATGTGCAACTTGTTCTGATGCAACCGATTGTGTCACTTGCTTTCATAATAGAGTTCCACCTGCTTGTGATTGTCCTGCTCATAGTTATGATAACTCTAATTATTAAGAAGCTTGTTTTCCATGTTCTAATATATCTGTTGGATGCTCGACTTGTGATAATAAAACTTGCTAAGCATGCCTAGCGCCGCGTTTTTTAGATGGAAATTCATGTGTAAATGATTGTCCTGCAGGTAAATGGGGTAATACAGTAAATAGATAATGTGCAGATTGTTTAGATAAATGTGTAACTTGTTCTAATGCGATAGATTGTGACACTTGTTTTGAGAATAGAGTTGCACCTGCTTGTGATTGTCCTGCTCATAGTTATGATAACTCTAATTATTAAGAAGCTTGTTCTCCATGTTCTAATATATCTGTTGGATGCTCGACTTGTGATAATAAAACTTGCTAAGCATGTCTAGCGCCGCGTTTTTTAGATGGAAATTCATGTGTAAATGATTGTCCTGCAGGTAAATGGGGTAATACAGTAAATAGATAATGTGCAGATTGTTTAGCTAAATGTGTAACTTGTTCTAATGAAAATACTTGTGACATTTGTTTTGAGAATAGAGTACCTTAATAATGTAATTGTCCTTAATATTCGTATGATCCTATATTTTTCAATTAAGCCTGTACTATGTGTTCTACTTTTTCAATTGGATGTGCTACATGCAGTTCAACTGAATGTCTTAAATGTATAACTCCTTATTATTTTTAATTAAACTCAAATGGATAATGTGATTCATGCTTAACTATAATCACTAAAATGTATTTTAGTGATGATTTATTGTAGTTAAATATAGATTTTGATTATTATTATACTAATTTGTAAATTGATCTTGTTATCTCTAATTTAGATTTATAAAATTATTTTTCTTAATTATAATTTACTAATTAACTTTGTATAGAAACATTGGATTAAGTATTTATTTCTTCTAAATTATAAGGAAATATTTTGTGTTCTTTTAACAAATCCTTAAAAACACTTACAGTTTAGCTTGATTCTGTAAGTACTGTTAATAAGTATGATATAATAAAAATAAAACCTGGTGTATTCAAACTAACAAATAATGGATTTGTTTGTGCTGATTTTCTTTAATAAATAACTGGAAAAGTAACTTTAGACACTAATCCAGTCATTAAATTAACTTAAACAAGTCCTATTTCGGTATGTTAATAAGCATAAATAAGTATATCTAGTATTTCTAATTCTGGAAATAGAAAGTTAAAATAAATTACTGGACACTTGTTTCTTCTAGTGTAAATACAGCAAA